GAAATGATTGTGCCTGTTTTTCTCCTCTTTTCCTTTCTCCTGTCTTTTCAGTCTTCTCTGAACTGAGCTTCATAACTGAAACTTCCAGCTGCTCTGTGCAAAGCCTCCTTCCAAGATGAGCCCTGTGCCTTTCTCTGGGTCTGTAGCCAGGAGGAGACCCTTGCAGCTAATTCTGGGGGGACAAAGAACCTCACCTCCATGACAAGCACCACTGAGAAGTAACCGAACGGCAGAGACCCCTGAGTGATCTGCTTTCTCTCTCTGCCAATACCCAGTAACAAAACGGACTCTTGTCCAAAAGAGATGACCGCTAGCAACTTTTAAAACTGCTTAGGCAAAGCTGTTCTTTTCTGCAGAGGGGAAATGAGGAGCAGGCATTTGACTGCGCGGAGCAGCGGTGCAGCAGCAGCGTGCAATGACGTGAGCTGCTTCCTGGCATCCGCATCGCCCCGAGGGGCTGCAGTGGGTCTCTTCTCCCTGCATGAGGATACAGACGCCTGCACGCCTTGCTATGACCTCAGCACTTCAGCAGTTCTCCCTCCCATAAAGAGCACAGTGCTTTCTAACCATCATAACTAATTATTTTTTTATACCTTAAATTGCAAGCTGGTTATATGATAAAGTTCACAATACCTGGCCAGTTTAAGAAGCCCAGCAAAAGAATAACGTAATAATTATGTGGGAGAAAATTACTTTATGAAATGCAATACCAAAGAAGTTCCTTTAAAAAAGAAAAAGTAATATGTGATGGTTCTTTCTCCTTTATGTGCATTCCCATCCTCACAGAAACAGGTGCTGAATGAAGCATCAGACCTCTTTTTTTGCCAGGATTTTTTTTATAATCTTAGCACTGCCAGGCTGTGAAAGGATCCTGCTCTGTTCTTTGCTGCACTACAGCTTTCTGCATCCACGTATTCCTCCACAGTGAAGCTGGCAACAATCACACCAACCTTTCAACAGGAGCACAGGAACAACTCGTGCTCCTAGCTGCTACTAATGCCAAGGATGTAATCCCCAAGGAAAAAGAAACACCCTGTGTAAATACAAGTGGACAAACCTGATACAAAACTACTTTTTTTTTCTTTTTTTCCCCCTCCCAGAAGCAGCAGTGCTTTCTGCATCTGAAAGTGCTGGAAATGAGCTTGCAACTGCATTCAGCCTCACAAACTTCCCCTCTAGCTGTTTTGGGTTTGTTGGGTTTGTTTTTGTTTTTTTAGCATAGACACAGAGCTATTACAAAAATGACGAGATCCCATCGCTTGACCTTTCTCTGAAATCACTTTTAAACATGCAACTTCAAGAAAAAGAAGTGCAGAACAGGTGTAATGTGGGGGGGATCATTTGTCAGTCTTTAGAGGGGTCAGGCTATGTTCTGAAGGTTGCTTTTGAGGTTTGTCATTTTTAGAGCAACTTTCAGTTTACCAGATGTTTGTCTCAAAGACTTTAAGTCTGGAAAAGTAAGTACGTGTTTATTATTTCTGGGTACAGACTAGCACATCAATGTGATGATACAGGTACAAGATAGCTACTCACTTTCATAATTCAGAAAAGCCATTAATAGCTAACATCCAGTATTGCTCAGGGAGCCCATGCACTGCGCCTGTCAGAAGGGGAAATGAGCTCTGAGCAAAGAGAAATGAGAAACACAGTCAAAAGCCAACAGCTTTGTGGGCTCTTGTATTACACAGGGCTGTCCCCAAGTTACCGAGTAGATCTGGCATTAAAACACACACATCAGGGCTACAACATCGCCACCAGGCAGACGAAAAAAGAAAACCAAAGAACAAGCTGTAGCACCATAGCTGTCCCCTGATAGCGCCTTCAGGCATCTCCTTCCTTAGGTTTCTCTTGTTCCTTCTAACATCTGCCTGCGCCTTCCAGCCTTGCCTCAATGAAGGCTGTAGCATCTAACAATACCATCTTTCAAACCTTCATTCTCAAAATCTGGCCCACTATTTTATAGGTGTGTATTTCACATAGCATCTTCCTTGGCCCTTTACAGTCTCTAAATATCTCCAAAACAAGGAGTGATGTTTAATTGGAGAGCAGTCATCACACTTCACATCACTTTCCCTTTATTGCCAATAATCCATTGTAATCAAGGCACTTTTTGCAAGTGAAGGATTTTTCTTTTTTTTTTTTAATGTGGCCTGTTAACTGGATTTTTACAGGGATAACTAGTATTTCCTTAGATGCCAGCTTCTCCAGATCAGACCAAATTATCTGAAATGCTTGGACTGATCCTTTTGTCCCTTTCAGCAGCTCACCTTGCACCCAGCAGGAACGCCGCTGGCACACCGACACGCTGTGCAGGAGCCCCTTGGCGTGCTCCTGCCACAAAACAAGTTTCTGTTTGTGTCTGGAGCCGTGTTACAGCCAGGTCTCGGGCACTGCGCTCTGTTTCCAACCACACAGACCAGGGTGAGGGGAACACAGCAGGAGCCTGAAGTCACACAAATTATCACGAGGATGATACTAAGAACACAAAAGCTCTCCGTTTCACCCAACAGTTAATGCTTTGGCAAAAAAACTTTTCTCTGTATAAAGGCAGACAGAGCACAGGAGTTCCTGTATCAAACAGAATCGAGATCAAAGAGATCTCTGCTGTGCATCAACAACTTACACATCTGAAATTTGCCTCTCTACCTCCCCTCGCTGCTGTAGTCTGATGTATTATTTAACACTGCATTTAATTCCTTCATAAGAGATCTACCAAGTTTAGTGCAGGTCTAACGCTCTGCTGGGACCCACCCGCAACCTGTCTGGTGTCTGCTCCCTCCTGCTCTTGTCCCTGCTTACTTCTCTGTCTCTACATCTCAGCTAACATACACTTACCTTTAGCCAAGAAGAGATTTTTTTTTTTTTTTAAACACTAGAACAAGCAAGGGAAAATATCCTAGCTACATGTGATTTCTTTTTAAACCAAGAAAACACAAAACAGTGTCTAGATTATGTTCCACAAATGCAAGCAGAGCAGATTAATAAACTTGAAGTCCAGTCCCTTCTGTTTTCATCCCGTGGGGGTGGGAAGGGAATAAGTGGTGTGATAGGAAGGAGGAAGAAGTCCTCTCTCATCTTAGCAGTTTTCAAGTTCTGTTACATCCACTTCTCTTCAAACAGTACATATCACTTTCAATTCACAGAAATAAAATCCCACATTAAGGGTAAGATACATTGGATGAGTTCCCTCTGCTCTACGAAAACTCTAGAAAAACCTGCAAAGAGTCTATGTAAGCAATAAGCAAATAATAATAGGATAAATAACCACAAATAGGGTAAATATTAACAGGTAACGGGCCTCGATGCAGAAGTGAACGCTGTATTATACCAGATCAGTTTATACAACCCACCAAAACGAGAACAATGCATAGGCATTGTAATATAAATATAGTATCTTACTATAAATGTCACATCCTCTCCAACTTCACCACCCAGTCCTCATGGATCAAAACAATATACTGCAGTTATTAGCATCCTGGTCAAGAACTGACTGCTTTCCCCCAAAAAAACAGACTTAGAATAAAAGCTTGTTAATGAAATTAAGAAAGTATTTCAACAGGATTGAACTGCTTAGTTGCCCCCTAAACCTAAAGGGCTCTTTTGATACAGGCATTTGAGGGCTGACTGACCTCTCACAGGAGCAATTATTAATTACTAATTAATTATAGGAGCCTTACCTTTCAAGAATAATGATTTTTTTTTTTAGACATACAGGTGGTTCCTAGGAACACATGGTGGCAGCAAGCAAAGAAATCCACAGATCGGAAATTTAATAAGGCAAATGCACTGATTGTCACTGTCCAAACATTTACGCTTTTCAAGAAGCACATCTGTCTTCAGACATGGCATCAGGGGGAAAATAATACATCTGCTTTCAGTATTATATGAGTGAGAATGTCAGTGTCCCAATTTAGAATGTGAAAGTTCACAAAATCCTTGTAACCTGAAGCTCAAACAGCACCTGCTGCTCTGTTGACCAAAAGCACCTCTGAGCATTCCTGAGGCAGAGATTTGTCTCCAAGAGGAAAGGCTGAATAAAGTGGCTCAGGTGGGAACTATCACACAATACTCACAGAAAATCTTTCATTCAGTATGCTAGCTACTTGTTTTATTTTAAGCTAATTTGAAGAAAACAGCAGCCGGTTACCAACAAAGGCAGTAGGGCTGGAGCCCCTTCTTGGAGGGGACCAACTCCCAGTACACCATTTGAAAATACTTTTCAGTTTCTCCACGGTTCCCTCACCTCATGCTTTCACATATAAACACAGTAGCTGAAAGTCCTGAAATGTAGCACAGCACTTTGGTCCTGTCTGGTTTAGCTGAAAATGCATTTTCTTTAGCCATTTTCCCATTGTGAATCTTTCTATTTTGAGCCATAAACTAAAGGTATTTTAATTGAATGGGAAAACAAATGCCATTTTTATTATTTTGTAGAGTTAGGAAACATTATAGAGATAAAACAAATCTATGGCAGTTATCTATCCTATTCCTCTCTAAAACAGCTGTCTCCATTGGAAAACTAGAACCAGAGACCTCCAGAAATCACAGCATAGTTGATTCTCAGCTCTTTCATATCCATCAACAGCAGACTTCTCTCTTTTCCTTTGAGCTATCTGAGCAATGAGGTGGATTTGAAATGAGAACTGTCACAGTTGGACGCTTAAAGCTCTGTTTGCTTGGCAATGCCCCGCTCCATTTTCAGAATTATGTTGTCAGAACTGTTTACAATCCAGAGCAAATTACTGACTCGGAGAGGTGCAAATCCACCCAGGTCTCTAAAAGTCGATTTCATACCTATTGAAATAAATGCCATGACTTCAGATTTATTCCATGATGAACAAGAAAATTCATTTGGCCCAAGGAAAAAAGTAAGAAGCAAGATATGCCATCACCAGCAGCACTGACAGAAATACGAAGCCAGAATAACACTTCAAAGCAGCACTGCTGCTTGAGGCTCTGCTATTCCATGCAAATAACTAGTTTTCCCTTTACTCTAGGTGCTGTCATTTATCATCTTTATCTGCTATATTGCATCTCAAGCTGCCGCTTTCATGATGGCACCACTCCTAGAGTTTCTGCTGGCGCTGTTTCTTTTTTTTGCCTACGCCTCCAAACTTAATGAGAAGTTTAAAGGATTCTACTGGCCTTTGACGGTAAGTGAAATGTGCAATATAAAACCACAGATGTAATTGTACAGCGTAAGATGAGTAAAAGGGACTATACAGGAGTTTAGGCTGACTGTTAACAACTTCACCCCCTTATTAGAAACCTGTCCACACTGCCCCTCATGCAAGAGGTCCCAGAGCACTCTAATCTGTGCCACACTACATACTGTAGCTTTCTTTGTGCTGACACAACACATGGTTTGATTAAAGCACAGAATTCATGCCCAATTCCAGGAAAATGGCTTAGGGCTGGATCTTCAAAAGCAGGCAACATCAGCCTAAGTCTGACCACTGCTGAGGGCTCCTTAATACTGCCACCCTTACAAATGGGGAAACTGAGGCATGCCCTGTAGTAATGCGTGTACTTGACTGAAATGTTTTAAAATTCTCAGGTAAGTGCTGTTGAGATGCAGAGTCATACTCGCATGCAAACAAACTGACGGCTGCTTTTGTTGAGAGGGCAGCTCTTGCCAGCAGATACTCATTGTCACAAAGGAAACCGCTGGCTGTTCACAGGGGTTTCAGGTTTGCTGTCGCAGGTGGTTACTGCACACTGGCCACTGGATGTCTCTGTTGCTTCAAACACCCATCGTAAGGCAGCATTTGTCCAGCAGTACAACTGCTCCAAAAAAATGCTAATCTAATCGATCTGGATTCTCTTTTGGTAAAGTCTAGCAAGAGCTCATCACAGTGAGATTTGAATTAGAGCTCCCAATGTATAAATATAACATTAGCAAGGCGACTGGTAAATAAAACAATACCAGTGACTTTGACAGTGTGCATGGTTTCCAGCTGGTAATCTCAGTTCCATCATTTTCCCATTTTCTACATGCATCTGATTCCAGAACTAAGACAAAAAAAGCACTTACATGTATATTATGTCCATCACCATAATATGCTCCAGCCACAGAATGGAGATAACTGACCTTGTCCTGATTTCAGTGGAGTCAAGTTTCTTGTAGGATTTGTGTTTTGAGACAGTATCTTACTCATCCATCTGTTCTGAAAAGGCTGAAGATCTAATTGTGAAGATACCATTACTCCAGCTCACATGATTTACACATGCCCTGGGACTCACAGCTCTGTGTTTAACACAGTTCAGGGACACCGCTGCTCCAGCACATCGCTGCTGGTGCTGCAGGGCACGGCCCCTGCCCAGCAGAGCTGCAGCCTCAGCAGCACGTATTTCCATGATAGCAACGGGTACATTCACATCAGGCCAGCTGCTGGAGTTACAAGTGGACATACTAAATATAAATCAGAGTTCTAAAAGCTAAACCAAGTGTTTAGTTCCTAAACGAGGAGTTCCTCCAGACAGGCCTACGTCTGTATGGAAACGAGCACGTGCCTGTTTCCCACAGGAACAGGTATGCTCCTCCTGAGCCTCTCGTACCACAGGAGTTCTGCTTAAAGACAAGACTTTTTAAGGCATTTGAAGCGATTCTTCCATTAGCCCTTGCTGCTCTCCAAGTTAAACATCACAAAGATAGCCCTCCTCAGCCCGCAGACAGGTCTGCTGACACAGGCATGTTCACATTTGAAGTGATTCTTCCATTAGAGCCCTTGCTGCTCTCCAAGTTAAACATCACAAAGATAGCCCTCCTCAGCCCGCAGACAGGTCTGCTGACACAGGCATGTTCAAAGTAGGATTTACACCAACATCTGTAAGAGCTGAAGCTTATGCCAAGATTCCGGTCATCTCTCATTTAAAAATATTTCCCAGATGAGCAATTACTGTGCTACAAAATACAAGCTGTCATTTCTGAAATAATTTCTAGAGGAATTTGTATGTTGGAATTATGTGACTAATCTGAGAATGCAACGTTGCTGATTTTACAGGATTTCTTGCGGTGTGTCACTGCTGCCATTATTTACTTTGCCATTTCAATTGCTGCTGTCTCAAAACATAGCGATGGAGCATCTAAAGCAGCAGGAGTAAGTAGACATGAGCTTTCCACTTACGTGTTTTGGTGAACCATGCATGGATGTACTTTAGAAACAATTCAGTTTTGACCCCATTGCAAGTACCAGAAGTTCCTTCAATTAACTGAGAACTAGATTTGCCTAAAGCAAGGAAGAAATGGTCAGTTATTTAGAAAAACAGGTTTTGAATCAATGAATAGTTTTTTCATCCTAACAGTGCTGCTCAATGTGAACCATACTACTTAGGGAAGGCACCTAGTCTGATGTTTAATTTCACCAGCTGTGTACAAGGAAGATAAACATCTCTGTTCCTGCAAAGAACATCAAGATCCTTGAATGGAGGGAATAAATAAAAAAAAAAACCAAACCAAAAACCTGTAACTACTGAGGACAGTCTAAGTTAAGTAATTGCAACCTCCTACCTGTACTGCTTAATTTTACTTGGATGAGTTGAAACAGGAGCAGTGTCATTTTACCCTCCAGTATATGGACTGCCCAGGAGAGAGCCTTCGTCCTCAGCATTTTGAGTTCAGAAACAAGATCCAGCCTCTCCATCTGCAACGTGATTCTAAGCATCAATAATGTATGCAACATAAATAAAATTGGCATCATAATTTTAAAAGATAGGGAAGAATACCAGTAGTGTTAGCCAGAAACCCTTACCAAACCATCCCGAGTCACACACAATTTCAAACCAAAGACCTTGTTTTAATCTTTGTCACTTGGTTTAGACATAGAGCAATGCAACATAGCATTTATCCTGGCTTCTCAGGCTGAAAACCAGCCCAGTCTTGCCACACTGATGCTTCTTTGACACTAAAAATAGGTAACTCCAGAATAATTTTATCTCAATCTAGTTAATTCTGCAAGAGGCATCTGCTTGCAAACCAGTAAAAAGTTATTTCCAGAGAAATTGAGGTGATTTATTGGTGGCAAAGAGATGCCCTGGGGTGGTGGAGGTGCAGGTTATGTTCTCCTATAGCTCCCAGCACAGGGCAACGCTGATGCTCAGAACGTGCCCAGAGCCCAAGGGGGATGTTGCCTGGGGAAGGGCTAAGGACACATCTGATAGAGCAACTCCAGGGACCACTCCTCAGGCTCCCAGATCAGCAGTGATTCAGTTGATGCCAGTGGCTCCTGAGACATTTCCCTTCCCTGTCTTTTTAGAAAGGCACTGGTCAAGAAAAATCAAGCCCAAGTTTTCTTTAAGAATTTTTCTTTTGTCAGGGTTATTTTGATTTGTCACTGATGGACGGGACCTGTTGTTAAACAGAGTATTATTTTGCCATTTTAGGTGTTTGGATTTATAGCCACGATAGTGTACGCCATTGATTTCTACATAACCTTCAATGACCTGGTTACTTTTCTCAAGCAAGGCAGTTCTGATTCCCCTGAAGGGCGCAAGTCAGAAGGTAAAATTCCCCATTTTGGTTATAAGAGTATGTAACATGAGATGTTCTTCTCCATTTCCCCTTCACACGGGAGCGAGAGCACTCCCTCAGTAAGAACGGCTTCTGTTCTTGGCTTCCTTAATTTTGTATGCCACAACTGTGCTGAATTATGAAGCTGCTTAGTCTTAAAATACAACTGGAATTTCAGTGATTTACAAAGATAACTAGCATGCCAGAAATGTGAAGTTTCTCAGAGTTTTGCACCATCTTTGAAAGGCCCCAAATCCAATTACAGAAATTATTGTGCAGCACAGACTTGTTTCTTCTCATCAAGATGGCTTACTTGAAAAACACTTACCTTTTTTTCATAACTAACATCCGTTAGTCCACCGTCTTTTATGTCCAATAGTGCTTTTCTCTTTCTCATTATTACCTCTTACTCAGGGTCAAGGCTTTGACTATCTGTGGGCAAATGGCCTTGAAATCCAAGGGCCACACAGCATATAACAAGATTGGTATAAAATTTATTTTTTAATAGAGGAGGGACAGTCTACCTCAAATCAGACAGATCCACTAAGACAAAAAGAGGGTCCTGCTGTTGGGAGTTCAAACCCATTTCAAGTCCAGTCAGGACCCAGGAGTCCAAATTGGGCATCATGCCCCTGTGATACTACTCATTGCACCCACACAGCTGGAAAAGACTGCTTCACGCTTAAAAACAAACAAAAAAATGCCAAAACCAAAAAAACCACCCCCCACAAAACCAAAACCCTCAAAAACACCCAAGGCATGTACAGAATAACCCTAGAAGGTATACAGTAACGCTAACAGACTTTTCTAGGTATTTTAGTAAACCACTAAATGTTTTGCAAGCTTTAGGCCAAAAAGAGAGACAAAGAAAAGAAGAATTAAAAGAATAAATCCTAGGAAACAGACTGTTAAGACTAAAAACTGTTTATCCCCACAAACTGAACTGATTGCAGAAAAAAGATCAGGTGACAAGGGTACAAAATTGGGCTAAAGATTACATCTAATTTCCCTGGAAATATATAAACTTACAGATATGCAGTCATGCAGCTTTGTGTCGATGATCTGATGGGGCAAGAAGGGCTTTGTCCTGCAGCGCTGTTCCCCCAGCACCAAACTCCTGTTCACACTGGGGCTCTCAGCTGCTGCGGCCAGAAATCCCTCCCTTCCTTGCAAGCCTCAAGCCTGGGCAAAATGTACCTCTACAGGCCTGTGGGGATTTCTTAACATCTTAAAGCATCTGGCTTTCAGATACGTTTAACTGGCGGTGCGTAACGGTGACCCACAGCGAACAGCAATGCTCTAGTACAGGAAGCGTGTCTTCAGCAGACTTCCTCTTGGTGGTCAAGCTAACAATCGCATCTCTGCAGCTTGTCACCTGAGCTGTTGTCTACGTTGTAGTGGTCTAAGTGCCTCTCAGCAGCATTTCTCAAGTAATTTGAAACAGCATTTAACACTCCCTCATGTTACTAAGAACTGTCATTTTACAAGCCTTTTCCTAAACATGCCACATCCTTTGAAGCAGATGCCTGCTGAGGAGCAGCATATCTCTCCTAAAAAAAGCTAAAGCTGACGTGGAGATTTCCAGTTTTCATTCTCCCCATTGTTCCTTGTTTTAAATTTCAGATGAGGACTCAGATTCCGACTCAGACTGAAGACCCGAATACCAACCAAGTGTGAAGGGAAGATGATCAAGCACTTTCCTCTCTGCTGAGTGCACTGCCAACTGAAATATCTCCCTTATTTCAGCCTCGGTATCCCCTTTCCACCTCACTGTTTATGGAATCACCAGAGCACAGACAAGCAGTGATGTGGAAAAGGAGACTATTCCCAATGCCATTAGACACTCCTTCAGAACTATGGATTTTACAGTTCAACCTGCCACAGAAGTCTGTATCCAAACAACATGTCTCAGTTCTCCCACTGCCCCTCCTTACTCAGCACTACACTGTACTGAGTAAACAGGAACCTCGTATTTTAAACGTATAAGCCGAGCTTTTAATATGCTTTCTTAATTCCAAATCGTTAACACTTATAGCTTTTATACTTCTTACTGTGCCAAAGAAGAGAGGCTCAGAATGCCTCTAATTTTTTTGTATTTTTCTTGATTAACTAACAATATTTTTTTACCTGAAGCCTGAATGTTCCACCGTCTCCAGCACTGAAGGCATAGATTATAGTTAACGTGTTGCGTTCATTACGTCTGCAACAAGAAAAAGTGACAACTGGAAATCTGCAGCAAGAACAAACCTCAAAGTATAATTGTGCCACAGGGCAGCTGGCTTATCAAACGTTGACCAATATCACTTTTTTTAAGCTGCTTGGATGGGGTCACATCCTATCTGCATTTCACCACAGGTATGAGGTAAAACACATGAGGCAGCACCTTACCAGCCCCCTTCCTACCATTTGTGTGGAAACCCTTGTGCGTGTTTGCGCATACAGCTTAAGGGAGGCTTACAAAATACCATCCAACAGGATCTGCCCACCGAAGCCTGCAGATATTTATGTGCAAGATACCACTGTCTGATCTCACGTTCTGTGGTGTGAATGCTGGTCCTCCATGAGAAGTAGTGCTGGACTTAGTCCCCTGGGCTCGCAAAACAGATGACTGTTTTTGTAAAACTCAGGATACCCGTGCCCCAGGAAGGCAGTACATCCTTCCCACTGTGAAAACAGACAAAAAACCCCTCCAAAGTAGGAATGTCTACAATGAATCCTGTGTGATCTGATCTAGGTGTTCCTGCTCCGGCAGGGGGATTGGACTAGATGATCTTTCGAGGTCCCTTCCAATCTCTAACATTCTGTGATTCTGTGAATTTTCCCAGACCTCTTTTTTTTGGTGAGGAGAGGGTATTTTTGTTTGTTTGGTGTTTTTTTTTCTTTTTCTTCCCCTGGATGGACACAATTTATCTCATGGTCTAGTATTCTGGGGGAAGAGCCTTCTGAATTTACAAGGTGTTTTCATGGGTTGTACAACCTATCTTGTAATATTTGTGTCCACCTATAAACGTATATTGCTTGGAAAAAGCATGGCATGCTCCTTATATATGGCATCAGACAGGCCTATTTCAAAGAAACCTGCATACATTTTAAAAAAATTAATATAGTACCAGAACAGGTGGCCTTAACAAGAAGCAATTAAAATGAGAGCAGATGTTACTAACAGAGTAGATGAAAAACAGGGATAAAACAATAAAGGCAGATTTCCTTGGGAACAAAATTACTGCTTGGGTTCCAATTCCCTGCGAGCAGCTGGCTGCTAAGGGGCAGAACCACGGTACCTAACAGCAAGCAGGTGCTTGGGACGGTGCTGGCCAGATCAGAGTTGTCCAACAGGCAGCTCCTGCATCTCCTGTTTCCAGATCACTGAGGGAATAAAAGCAAGACAAATGGTTGCTTCCAAATATGTCATCTCTGCTTTTATGCGAAAGTGCTCTTTGGACCTTTTCCTGTATGAAATTCCATGTTTCTTTCTTTTCTGTTGTCATATTTTACTGGTACACACTGTGACATCAGGGGACCTGGGCTCATTTTTATATTCAATTGTTTTGTATTTCTCTTTTTTTAATTAAAAAATGTACTGCATGTTACAGTTGGAAACTAGTACATGGTTAATATTTAGAAACCATGCTGGATTAAACCTCTTTTAATAGAAGTGTTGGGTGTCTTTACTTGTTTCAAGACCTGGTGTTACTGCCTTGCCTCTGACCAGGGAGAGTTAATTGTGTTTCCAGGAGCCCCGTCAGGAAGGACACCGTGTGCCTGCCGGGGAGGCAGACAGCACAGAGCCAGCACTGAAGACTAGTCACTCCTGTTTGCACATCTCGCAAGGAGAAACTTCATCTTCAGCACATAAATATGAAAGAATTTAACTGGGAATTAGTTTTTGCTATTTAGCAGACATTGGAGGTACAGTGCTCTTACTTGGCAACTAATAACACCGTAAACAACAACAACGCTCTTTGGGTTTACCTTCACAGACATGTTACAACCTAAAATCTGCTAAGGTTTTCAAGGAATTTTTTCATGTTGGAATACTCCTAAAAATCAACAAAAGTAGTAAACAAAATTGGTCATTAGTTGCTTCAGGACTGCTCTAACAGGCACGCAGCGAATTGCCTGTCCAGATCATTTTGTTACTAGCACTCCAGTATTTGACTATTTCACTTACTTCTAACTAGTCTGCTCCCAGGGTCCAGCACTTGTGTAAGATTCCAGCCTTTTATTTAAAAAGATCTGTTCCCACAGCTGAAATAAAATACATGCCTGTGTTTTATGAATGTCATTTCAGAAAAGGTAATTCAATTAAAAATAATTACTTTAAAGCCAATTCTGATTGGGGGGTGGGCGTGCTGACTCAGTCTTCTATTCATCTCCTGCAGCAATGCTGCACTAAGCTCATAGCTTGGTGTAGGGCAGAGGAAAAGTCTTGGGGTTTTTTTTTTTGGCTTTTTTATTTGTTTTTCCTCAATTTACAAGATCAAAATAGCAGGAGCACTGGTTTCTCTGCACTTCAGGGTTCACGACAGAAGTGTAACGTTGCACCTGCAGCACACAGGGCTTATTGAAGTTCCTATGGCAGTGAACCAGCAGGGTCATAATCAAAAAACTCTTTTCGATCACAATACATCCTTCTTCCAAACAGGAGCCATTTCCAAAACCCAAACAGGCTCATTTGTGCCTTCATTGCAACCAGAGTGCAACTATTTCCATTTGGAATTCCTGTGCTTGTTGAACAGCACCCAGCATCAGACAAACCCAAGGAGTGATAAGAATTTCCAATACCAAATGGGGAACAAATCAATGCAGAAACAATGCAAGAAGTCTTATGATCTGAACTGTGAATCAAAGCCACTAACAGGAAGGAAAAATGATCAGCTGGCATCCCAGACAAATGACTTCATACAGCTCTCACATGGCTTGAAGGTCCCTTTCCCTCCTCCTACCTCCTCCTATCAAAAAGCTTTTATACTTATCTGTGCAAGATTAGTTCAGTCTTGTGCAGTGATTTTGGACAGGTGACGGTAAGGAATTCAACAGACCTTTCCAAGCAGCCTTTTTAAATTCTGACTGAAATAAGAGGCTCAACTGTCATTGCAACACTCTGTCCATTACTCTGCTTAATCTTGCTTTTCATCAGCTACTGTTCAGAGTTCTGTAAATCTTGAATTTCCAACTGACAAAGTAATCTCCAAGATACTAAGTGGTGTGTATCTCAGCCTATGTGGTATTTGAGAAGAATGCTTCTACTAGCCTGGTGTACTGGAAAGCAGAAGACAATTTAATGCTCTGCATAGCAAGCAGATGTTTTTCATTCATTATGCTTCTGGTAAGTGTTCACTGTGCAAATTTCTAAGCCTGAATTTTATAGCTGCATCTTCCCCTGCTAGGAGACCAGCAGCCAGTATCATTAAGTGAGCGTGTACTTGTAACCAAACACTAACAGCACCTGTTTCCAACACCTGCACTTCTAAAATGCATAAGTAAATGAGAAAACATACGTATTGCTACTAGGCTGAACTAAACCTCATAGCAGGCAGCTTGTAACCAACCAGAGATAAAAAAATAATACAATTAAGTGGCTTCATTCCAAAGACCAGGATGCAAACCGTCCCCGAAGAGCAAATGCAAGATACATATCACCATGTATATGTAAAAATACAAGCAGCAGTTCCACCTAGCCATCAATTAATCTTTTGTTGAGCATGGAGAGAAAGAGAGAATACATCAAGGAAACACAAAGATAAGCACCATGAATGTGAATCTTGCTACAAGATGCTTGAGATGCCTTGTTGCATGGAGTATTGGTTTAAAAATCAGGATGGAGACACAGTCTCTTGTTTTTCTTCTAAATAAACAGGACTGCATAAAAAAAAATTCACACTGCAACAGAGATTCCTCCGTTACTGGAAGAATTCACAGAATGTTTTGTAAAACTTCCAGGTCAGAAGGTAAAACAATGCTACCCAGAAAATTTGGTTTGTTTGTTTTTTTAAAGTCAGTCAATTTTTCAATCTATTTCCTTGAAAAAGAAAACAGTGATTCCAATGTTCATTGGTAGCCAGGTAAAACTTGTGCTTTTATTTAATATATATTGGACGCTGTCCATCACATTTTGTCCGCCTGATCCATTAAATAAGAAATCAATTACAGTCTTCCCTGGAGACAGAAGGAAGATTCAGTGTTTAAAAGTTAGAATAAACTTTTTTTTTTTCAATTCAACAGCTGGCAAAGCTTCTCTTGACCAAGGAACACCATGGATAACAACAACTGCAGCAGTATGGCATTAAGTCCAGCACTTTAACTCTTGGTTTTCTTAAACACCATCGATTACATGAAGGCCTGATCTCTAAGCAGGTCCAATGGATGCAACACCACAACAGATGAGAATCTGCCGCTGCTGACAGCCCCACACAGGCCCTTCATCTGGCACAAAAGTTGTACAAGCACATGACTCTCTTTAGTGAGCCCTTCTGTACAAGCTCAGTCGTACCACTGCTGTTGTCCACGTCCCCACATGCATGTTATCCCTAAGCTGTGTTTTAAGAGCATCATCCATATTCCCAAATCTTCCCAGAACACTCATTCAACCACACGGGTGCTTCCGCAGTTCTTACGCTGATTAACTCAGTGCTTTCACTTTGCACCCAAAGCGCCTGGATACCAGAAACCCTGACCACATCAAGGTAGAACTTGCAACCTACAGCCCCCGAGGTGACAGACCGTTACCTAGTCACTCTGCCTTTTCAGCCCTGAAATTCCCTTTCAGTCCAGAATGGGATGCTGCAACCCACAAGGTACGGCATTTCAGCCCATTACAGTGTTCCAGATGGAGAAACTTCCACAAGAGCA